TTTATTCTTGATTCTTAGTGAGTTTTTTGTACGCCTTTGTCATATATCAAGCTCTTCTCAGCCATAGAGTGGGGTCTACTGTTGGATGAGCTGCCTGGCAAAATGGTTAGCCCAATATTAGTGCAAGTGCTTAAGAAAAGCCTGAATTCATTAAACAAAATTCATTTATTGAGTACCTGCAGGGCTCTGGGCACAGGGGATAGAGGTAAATAAAATAGGGGTTCCTGCTCTGGCTGGTGTAGCTGAGTTGGTTGGAACGTTGTCCTGTAGACCGAAGAATCATGGGTTTGATTCCTGGTCAGGGCACATACCCAGGTTGCAGGTTTGATCCCTGGTCAGGGAGCATATGAGAAGGCAACCAGTCAATGTTTCTCTCTCGCTCCCTTCCTCTCTCTCTAAAAGCAATTAAAAAAAAAATGTCCTCGGGTGAGATAAAACAAATTATTTTTAAAAATAGCAGTCTCTCCCCATCAAGAAATGCATGGGCTGCCTGGTAGAGAAGGTGGTGCAGTGGTGATGGGGACCACTTGTCATAGAGAAAAAGTCTGCCTTACCTGCAAGGTTGAAGCAAAGAACCCAAGGGTGTGTGGCAACCTTACTATGCTTGGTTTTCTGGCACAACCTTGCTTTCAAATGTCCCATTCCATTATCACATGGTCTGTGGGGGATAAAAACACAGGCCCTAGTACTTCAGGAGTTCCATACTAATAGGCCAGAGTTCAGACTAAATCCAGATGCTGGTTTCTGTAAAAAGCCCTCGGGACACTTGCTTTAGCTTATGTTTGATTTCTAGAGCTGGTTCATCACAGCTGGACCCAAGCCAGCCACCCACTTCAGCTCACTGTCCCTGGGGCTCTGCTCTGAAACATTATTTATCAGATGTTGAATATTGAGCATTATGAATACTCTAAAAAGAAGCATTTAATGGGAGCTTAAAGTTTACAAGAATTTCCAGTAGTAATTCTGGTGAACTGCACCCCATTTACTGATGCTCCATATAAGCTCTTTGGCCAAAAGAAACCTTCCAGAAAGCAACTTAAAAACACAACCACTTAAAGTGAGAGTCACGCAGGCTCTGTCCCCATGCTTAGCAGCCTGGCCAGAGGTGACCACGGGTGCATTAAAAACTAACAGGTCCAGGAAGGGCAGGCTTTAGTGCTAGATGCCCCTGCTTTCCAGGATCATGTACCAGCCTCCGCAGAGAAAACCCCTTTCCACAGCTGTCTCAATTTTCCTTTACTGTTGTCAACAAGATCCACTGTCAGAAAGATCCAGACAGCCATTCTCTCCATGAATGACACTTCAGACTTGGGGCTTAAGAATAGAGAGCCCTGCAGATGCAGAATTCTTCAGGCTGGCTTACTGTAACCAAAGACTACACTTCAGCAACAGTGCGAAAAACAGAGTATATTCTCTGTGCAATATGTACAGATTCATATCTACCATACACTATATTCCCTGGCACAGAAATATCTACAGCAAGAAAAAAATGTGATATGAATGGCCTATGTTGCCTATATTGGGTTAGAATTAGTCCTGTCTCCCAACATGAATATTTAAAGACATAATAGACCCATAGCATTCAACCATTAAGTCTAACAAGTATCAAAGATTTGCTTTTTTTTTTAAATAGCCTAAATATAAATTCTAAATGGCCTCCAATACTGGGGTCTGTTGTTTCCTCACTGGTTTACCACCATTTCTTTACATTTCTGTATCATCACATACCTCTTAGCAGGGCCTTTTCAGAGACAGAATGTTAGGTTTCAAGTTTAAAATTATACATATATCGTACCTTTAAACTCTATGACTTTGTCCTCTTTTGACAACTAAGAAACCTACAATTCTAAGGGATTCATTAGTGTTTCTGCAGAAATAGAAAGAAAACTACCCTTCTCCTCTCCATCTGGGCTCTTCCTGGTTGATGCTTTCCAATCCTTATCATAAAGTAGTTTAAAACAAAACTAAATACTGGACGGCTCCCTAATGGGGGTGTTCAAATGCCCAAAGATGAAGATGAATGAAAGAGCTTGTGGAATCAGGCATCTTCTGACCTCAAAACTACAGTGTCTTGCTCCAAGAGAAAACAGGTCAAACTCCAGAGAGCTTATTGGAAGCTCAGCTTTGCAACCACTACCCTCACTCACAGACGTCTCTGTTGCCAATCTGTATACTTCTTCACCAGGCTTTGAGTGCCTGAGAGATGACAATGCACTTTACACTCCAGTCACTGGTACTCACATAAAGGTACGGTTATTTTTTTCTTTTCCAGATAGACCCACAGGGTGAAAGATTTTGCCTGTGGTCTGAAAGGAATGGCATCTGAAATGCCCAGCCCTACAGAGAAGCATCTCACCACAGTTCTCCAGCAAGGCTGCCTGTCAACTGGATAGAACTGCTCTATAAACTCCATAACTAGACGGCTCCAGTTCAGGGTCACATGGCCTTCAGTCAGCAAGTCAGGAAGTGAAGCTGGAGAACACCATGACTTCTGGTTTAAAGGAGGCATTACAGAACAACTCTTGGGATGCCTGGGTGCTTAATCTGGGTGAAGTAAGGTCTGACATTGTGACCTCAGGCCTGTTTTGTGAATTTAGGAGAGAATCTTCAATAAAGTGATGGCCCCAAGTTTAAAAGTAAAGAACATACTTAGGCTACACATGCTCCCAGCTACTGAGAAGAGAATTCACGGCAAAGCAAAATGGAAATCCTAAAGCCAGAAACCAGACTTCCTCAGAGCACCGCCCCCATCCCCCTGACCCCCCCCATCTTTATGATGTTTCTTCTCTTGCTCTGGTCACACTGAGCTAGTTTATTTTTCAGAAAAATTTGGTGACTTCCCATTTTTAACTGAATATCCTCTCAAAGCCACCTCCCCCAAAATGTTCTTAGAAAAAGGTGACTGAATGACCCTCAAGTTCCATTAGAACATAATAAAATGTGTTATCCCCAAGGTAGTTTTTTATTATCAAAATAATGACTCATTAATGTTTTAAAAACTTTAGCACTTAAATCTACCTTAAAATATTTTTATACAATCTTTTAGAACTATATACACATAAGAAAGGTCTGCTATTTAACACAAAGGAAAACCTACACTGAAAAAAAAAATTAGACAAAAATTGGTAGTACATTTTCCTCTGAACCTACTCTTTTTAATGAACTAGAAAGTGGCCTCCTTACAACTACATCAAAATTAAAACTTACTTGTGTCTTTTGAAGCCGCAATTGCGTTCCTCTTCGTAAAGGATAACAAACTGTTTATTATTCTAAAAGCCAAGTTCTGGTATGATCTGAACTGGCTGGCATGAAAGTGTGTCACCCTCTTTAGCTTCCATTACAGTCTTTTTACTATCTCAACGGCTATTAAATGACTGAAAACAGATGTCTGAGTTCCATTAGGGGCCTGCGTATGCCTGGGAAAGCTGAGAAGCTTTAGCATCGCAACATTTGACATTCCCCTTTCTACAACTACTGATGAGCTAGAGTGAGCTCACCATAGGAGACCCTTTTAATTCCTTCACCAGGGCAGAGGGTTAGACAAGGCTCAGGTTTTTATGCTTTGAATCCCATTTCTTTCTTACACCATTTAAAGAAGGGTGTAAGAGGCTTTCTAAGGTTAAAAAAAAAAAAAAAAAAGTAGCTGAAGCACGGAGCACAGACCTTGACCATGGAAGGGTCCGGGGGTGCAAACCTGTTAGCAGAAGACCTTGGGGCTCATCTTACTTCTTGAGGAGGAGAGTTTCAGGACAAGCTTATCTATTATCTGCTATTCTGGCTCCTGTTCAAAGCACTTCCTGTTTTTTACTATCTAGATAAAATTATAAATAACTATTATAGTTCAAGCCACTCAAGAAATGGATTCTGGGTCTAGCTATGTGACCCTGGACAAACTACTTAACCTCTCTGAGCTTCCTGCTTGCTCAACTGTCAGTCAGTATGTTTACCTAATTTATACTGTACACATTTCAGCCCCCTAGTTTTACAAAGCACTTTCAGTTACTTCAGTATATTTGGTTCTTGCAATAACCCTGTAAAGTAACAGGGGCTATCGGCCTCAGTTTATAAAACCGGAAATGGAGGCTCAGGGGCTAAGAGACACAGTCTCAATGGCGGCCAGAGAGGAGGAGACAGAACACTCAACTTCTGATTCCAATCAACTGCTCTCCTTACCACATCATGTTGTGTGATCTTTCTGATTTCAACACTATTAAAATGCCACAATTAAAAATTCTCTGTCACTATTCATAGCCCCTGTCACTCTGTTTAGAACCTGACATCATTTGTACGTTGGGGAACAAGATGCGCATGAGTAAGTGCTCTTACATAAAAAATTCTGCTTTCAATTTAATTCTTTTGCTTTTTTAAACGCTTAGAGACTGAACACTAACTAATAAAGATTCTTAGGACTATTGTTAAGAATCTAACAGATCTTGCTTCTGGAGGAAATATTCATGTATGAAAGAGTCCAGAATATATATCCTACACTTAAATTAGAAGTGCTACATGTACCTTCAAATCGTTAAAGAAAGATGAAATGATAACATCAATGACTGATGGTGGCAGTGTTGGACCTGAGGGTCTAAGCGAGTCCTCTGGCTGAGCCCTTAACCTTGATTTTTGTGTGACCTAAGGTTCTGCCTTCCTCCCCTTCCCTTCTACCCTCATCCATCCATCAGGTAAAGGAACCCGTGTCATAGGTCAGCAAGGGTGACTGGATACAAAGAATGACATCTATGAATGTGTGTGTGTGTGTGTGTCCTCTTCTTACTGGCAACAAAACTCCTGAGCTGTCAGCAAATTCTGGGGAGGAGCACCTGACAGCCCTATTTGTTCTGCAGGTAAAACGTGGAGGTGAACGGGTTGGGAGCCATGTTACTGTGCAGCACTGCTTTGTGGTTCTGTTTCTCAATGTGGAATACGGTTCAAACTAAATAAAAGACAGCCTCCCCCAGTCATCCCCACTTTGTTATGATTATGCCATAGCATTGGGCACTGACCTGCTTTGCCCACTTCCCCTTTCCTCAGTGATCCTTCAGCCTGGCACCCAGCTCTGAGATGAGGCCTGCTTAGCACCAGTGAAGCTCCCCACGTTCAAACCAACAACATTCTGTGTGGAGATGAGGGAATCAAAGTTAAAATCCAACCCATCAGCATCCATGAGTTCACTACGAATAATGGAGTCCATGTCACATTCCAAGCTCCCATTGAACATGTCCAGGTCCAAGTCGCTGGGGAACTTCTCATGGCCCATGACGGAAAGGTTTGCACTAGTTGAGTACAAGGAGGAGCCTGAGAGAGAGTCCGAGAGGGTTTGCATAGACTGGCTGACAGGAGACTGCTGCTGGTGTTTGGCTGACCCAAGGCTGCTGGAATCGCTCAAGCCCATGTTGCTGACAGAATTCGACAAGGCACGGCTGCCACTGAGAGTGCCCTGGCTTTGGTGCTGGTGGTGGAGCAAGTTCTGATTGACCAAACTTCCCTGGGTAGGCTGGGCGGCAAAGGACATCATTGGGTCATTGCGAAGCATCACGTTCCGGCGGGAGTTCTGGGCAGACACAGCGGTGCTGGCCTGAGACATCAAGGGGTCCGACTGGGTCATCATGACATCGCTGTGGCTGAGTGAGTCTGAAGAGAGCAGGTCCTGGAGTGTCTGGGTAAAATAGTGTGACATGGAAGAGAAGGTAGCTGGCTTGTTCTCTTGGATGGTCTGCATGGGAGACTGGCGCAGGGAATTCAGAGACGAGGGTCCAAACACGCTGCTGTTAAAGGAGCTTGTTGGAGAGCCCAGGCCGGAGCCCTTGGTGGTGTATGGGAAGCTGGAGCTCCGCTGCATGAGCCCTCCGGTGGGGGATGGCTGAGACGACGGGAGTGTGATGTTATCCAGCAGGTCATCCATGAGGTTGTCGGCCAGCCCATCGTTCAGATTCATGGTGCCTGCCATGTCGGTCAGACGCGGCAGCTCCACGGTGCACGGCTTGCTTCCAGAGGGTGAGAGGCTGGCTGAGCTGCTATAGAGCATGGGGGAGAGTGGTGCGTCATCATCCTGGACATCATCTAGCTCTGTGCTTGCCAGGATGGGTGACAGGCGGCTACTGACTGTGCTGGCATTGGAATTGGTGCGCGAGCGGAAGTCCGTCCATGCATCCAGCTCATCGCTGCTGCGTGACGTGGGGCTACCAGGCCACTTGGAGAGCTGGGAGGGACTGTCGTCTGCTGACTCAGGAGCTGTCTGCAGGGCTGCTTTCTTCTTAGCTGCGCGGCTACGACTCTTGGTGTACTTGTTGCTGTTGTCCATGGAGACAGCCCGCCGCCGGGGTGCCTTCCCGCTCTTGCCTCCGTCGGGGTTGATGATCCACCAAGAGCTCTTGCCGGTTCCCTCATTCTGGACCCGCATGAACCGGCTGTGCAGCGACAGGTTGTGCCGGATAGAGTTCTGTGGAGAGAGAAAGGAAAATGTGGAATATAAGCCAGAATGGTCCAAAGGCTGAGCACCAAGAAGAGTCAATCAGACTCATTTTTAAACATCGGCATGACCCACCTTGGCCTGGAACTAAATGACATTATCAATGGCATTATTTCATATTTAGGAGGTGGGAGATGGTTCCATATTCACGAGATGCTGGGAATATATAAGCTCACTGACACTGTTTTTCACAAATTCCTGTGTTTTGTTGTCTTTTCTGTAGTTGTATTTCCTATACTGAAGTTCTCATTTGTAATTTATTATCATGCCACTCTCTCCCTGAGCTTTGCAACAAACCTCCCTGGCTTTCTAAGGGTAATTAATCACCTGGGGGGCTATTTTATTTTCTCATAGTCCCCTCCTCCACTAGTGTAGAGGCAGTATTTACATTTTCTTAACCACATCTAGTGAACTCAGAACTGGTGTGAATTTTTACCTATGACTCCATCCCCTCCAGCTACAATTTCACACCTGACAAACTGGAGAGTAAGAACTGCTGAGTTGACAGAAGCAGGCAAGATACTCCGCACTTAAGGTAATGTGGTCTGGGCACAGTAACTTCCTTTCAAAGAGTACAGTATGGAAAGGAGGAAAAAGAGTAACTTTATAGTGGACAAACCTGACAAATGTTATCTCAGCCAGATGAGTAAGGGCAACATCACCAGAGATATCATGTTGATAGTATCTAGTCTTAGTATGACATGATGAAAATGTACCTTGCTCTGTGGCCTTCCTCCCAAAACCCATCACTCCAGTCTAATCATGAGTAAAATATCAGACAAACTGCAATTAAGGGACATTTAACAAATGCTTGTCCAGAGCTGGAAGGAACCTAAGGAAGTGTGATGACTAAATGTGATGTGGTGTCTTAGGTGGCGTGCTGGGACAGAAAAAGGACATTCGGTACAAACGAAGGCAATGCGAATGAAGCACGGACTTTAATTAATGACAGTGTATCAATATTGGCTCATTAGTTGTGACAAATGTGCCAAATTTATACAATAGGTGAACAATAGGGGAAATGATGTTGGGTACATGAGAACTCTCTATACTAGCTTTGTAACTTTTCTATAAATCTAAAGGTATTCTAAATCTAAAGGTTTATTTTTTTAAAAAGAGAAATGGGGCAAAATACCCCCAAACACTGATGATTACACCCATCTTGCAAGGACTCCCCTGGCTTGGTAGATGAGCTCAGTTGAGAGGGATGACCCACATCCAGTTTTATCTCCGTCACTGACCAACTATGTGACCTTGAGCAAATCATTTAGCCTGCCTGCAGCGACTTCAGTTCTCCGTCTTCATTACAGCCATAATAACATCCAAACCACTCCTCCCTGGCAGGGATGACGTAAGGATGGCGGGAGCAGGTCACACTACCCAGGCAGGGTGTTCTTACTGGCTCTAACAAGTTCAAAGTCCACGGTGGACACTGCCTGCTGCGGGTTCATTCTAATCTGTAAAATGCCTCGCAGACCGTAAAAGACAAGAGGAATTGGTGGTATTCTTCACATCTGAAACAGCACATGCAGACCAGATGAGCTTATATTTGCAAGATAAAAGATATTGGTTGATGCTGTATATTTAGTAGGAATAATCCTAAATGTTACCCTAGTTTTAAAAAAATTGGCAATCACCAAGTATATTTATGTAGAGGATACAAATACATGTGTTCTACCAAATGTTTTTAAAACACAAAGCAGCATTTACCATAAGTAAATAACCCAAAATATGCACAGTGTTTCCCATGCATATATGTTCCCATGCAAGGAGGGCCCACAGTTTAGGCTGGGAATTGAGCATTAGCAACCATGGGTCATAGTCAGTATTTCTACCACAGCCATAAAGACACATTTGGGAGAAGAAAACATCCTGAGTATCTGATGAGACAAACTTTGCCCAACAGACTATATATCCTGCTTCCCCTTTACTCTTATGGTTTTTAAAAGAATAATGACATCTCTACTAATGGTTCAGAAATTACATTTCTTTAAAAAGGCAAACACTTTCTCAATAAAATAGATATAAAGCATGCTCCTAAAACTCATTCTGCAGGGTTAAAAAAACAGGCAAGTGCAAGGTGGCTCTACTATTGAGTTCTCAGATGAATAGATATATTAAGTAAAAACTTAAACTCAGGCTTCCTGATGGAAAAACAAGAAGGTCCTGAGGCTATGTGGGGGCGCTGTGCACAGTGACTTAATTACTCCTAACCTGGCCGGGCTCCTTCACTGTAGGATTTTGAAGAGTTCATACCAACACCCAGAACCAAAAACCACCAATCATATGTATCCAATTATCCCCCTTTTAAAAAGCATTTAGGGAAATAATTTTTTTGAACTGTATTTTTAGTTTCACCAATTCCAAATCAACCGAGAGAAATAAAACTCTTTACAGATCCCCAAAATGTCCTATATGGATTTTCTAATGGTCATCTCTTACTGCAACTCTAAACCCTAACAATGCATGTGAGTAATTTTATAAAATTACAAGCCACCGCTGGTTAACATTTGGAAAGAGAAATCAAGCTTCTGTAAGGGCACCGGTGAAGGGGCTGGGACAGCCACACCTGGGCCCAGAACCACAGGGTGCCGGGGCCCAGACCCCTAACTGCAAGGGCGAAGAAAGGAGAGCCTGCCTGACTGCAGCACTGTTAGCTACTGGGTCATCGGTCATAGACTCATTGTCTTGAATTCTCACAACAAACCGGCAAAGCTGGTATCAGTGCCCTCACCATAGGTAGGGAGGCTCAGGCTGAGACCTATTAAATAATTTAACAAGGTCACACAGGTAATAGCTCTAAGAACCCACACCGAAATTTGTTTTCCCAACTCCAATCCAATGCTTTTACTACAACTTTTCACAGGTTGGCCACCCAATTATTCAGGTGTCATCACTGAACGTACCTCCCAACCCAGGTGTCATAATTTAAAGAAAGAAACATTTAAGAAGGAAGGATACAAAGGCACAATCTTATTATTGCACTGTTGTTTATGAAGTAGAGGTAATAATTTGGCAGGTCTTTCCTAAATTTTTTTTTTTTTTTTAATTTAAAAGAAAGTCTTTCAGAAGAGCAAACCTGAAAACGAAGGCTTACGCCGGATCCCACGTCTGTGTTTCTTTCCGAGCTGGCCATCACAGTATCCATTCTACGGAGAAGGCGGTAGGTAGTTCCCATACAAACCAATGTTAACTATCCTTGGATTTTGAAACAAAAGCCAACTCATTAAATGGCTGATTAGCTTCAGTGTCCAATCTTTGCGCAACTCTTCATGTTAGAGGTTATTAGTAGCTGAATACAGTTCCTAAGGCTTATTGGCTACACAACACTCAGACAGGTTTTCCCAGTTGCATTACTAAGACGACACAATAAAAATCGCACCACCACCGTGCTCACAGTCCCCCGTCCAAACAGGCTGGCCAGCCTTCCGTTTATAAAATCCATAATCTGAAGGTGGGACCCTGATGAATGCCAGTAACTATGGCCCCTCTGTCCATTTACAGTTCAGATGCCCCCCGCCCCCCCGCCAAGGCCAGAGGCCAAACATGCATTCTGATTTTCTTCACAGGTCTTGATTCAAAATCACTAGTTTTTCTCCCTCGATTTTGGTGAAGCACAAAAAGGTAAATAATTAAATGCCAGATAAAATGTCAGAACTGCAATATTTTTCCCAACTTCCCTGACAACAAATGTTCCCAGGGGTGAAGAAATGGTGTTTATAAAAACAGACAAACCAACTGGAAAATCCTCTTATGATTTGTAGTTTAAGTTCTCTAAAGACCTCTCTGTTAGGGTCTGTAAATTAGCTTTCAATTTACTGTGTGTATTTTAAACTATAAAGCTACCATTAAAAAGATTCTATGATTTCTCACTAATTCATATATCATACCAACAGTCCAAATTTCTAAAATTTTAATTAGTGTGGGGGGTTGGAGCTGAAGGCAAAAGAGTAATGCTTTGACAGAACTAGAGTGATATTTCTAATCACATCTAAATGTACATTTTTAAATACCTTGTGAGGCAGGTCAATACTAATTGGCCAAAGTACTAACAAAGTGCTTTCCTCAAGGCTAAGGTGATAAAGTAAATACTACCAACCAGGACTCCCTTTGTTAGAGCTCAAGCTATTCTGTGATTACATTTACTTAATAAAGGAGCAAAGAAGCTATTATAGTCCCATCCCCAAACCCTGTGACTAGTCCTGGGTATTTAAACCCACTGCTAAAAACCCCAGACACTGATGAATTACAGGAAAGCAAACATCTTTAAGATGAAACTTTAGCATCCAGGACAAACATGCCAGTTTTTCTCCAACTTGGGCCCAAAGATTGAGGGAACCCTTAAAGCATCTCTCTCACCATGTGCTTGAAAAGAGAGAGAAAAAAGATAACAGTGCCCTTCATCTTATTTTTGTGTCAATCATGTATCTTTTACTAAACTATTTACACTGAAGCAAGCCCCACCCTTGTGCAGAAATGCTTTAGGTGAGGTTAATTAGTAACAAAACTGGCAAATCTCTGTCCTGTGCAATTGGCAGCGGAATTAGTGGCCCCGTCCTTTAAGGAGGCATATCGGTCGGCATGTGGGGGAGGCAGCGTGAGGGAACTCGCATTTCACAGTCGTGCTGACTGCAGTGGTTGGGGCCACAGCCTAGAGGTCCCTTTGCTTGGCCCTCCTCGAAGAAATTAGTACCATGGTAACTGTCCTCATCTGAACCTGGCACTTGCTATCCTGAAGACAGTTTTTTACTGCATGATAGACACACTTATTGCTAATGCTAATGTGCATACCGCCACTACATATATGCCACTAGTTGTGAAGACACATGGACCCAAAACAGATTAGATAAGGTATTGGAGAGAACCTACCTGCAATAAGTATTCCATCACTACTTCACAAAGTGCCTAATTCACACAAGCAGTTTAAGATGGCCAAGGCAGGGAGGGAGGCCGTGTGACTCTGGAGGAAG